AGTGGGAGAACCTCAAGAGAAGAGGGTAGAAACAGGAAAGATAGACTTGTATGAGAGTATAAGTTTCTGCTGTGAAGAGACACTCACAGAAGCAATTAATCCTGTATTGTAAGTGCTATGACTGAGCAGTATTTATTCAAAAATAGTATTTACATATTTACTTTGGGAGCACTGTTCTACCTGTGTATCTGCTGCAGTGACTAGCATACTGCAACTGCTGCACAAGTACTCAGTAAATTGATTTGTTTAAAAAAAAAAAAAACAGAGTGTGCTTATTTTTGAATCCTGGTTCTGCCACTTACGAGTTGTGTGACCTTGAACAACTTATTTAACTCCTCTATGCTTTCATTTCCTGTAGATGGAAATAGTAGTACTGTCAAGTAGGATTGATAAGAGTATTAAACAGGTAATATTTGGAAAGCACTCAGAAAAGACCCCAGTATATAATAAGCATTGTATAAATATTTGCGAATATCCTAATCATTATTTGGTTATGTTAAAACTTTATGTTGAAATTTGCCAACGGTGATCTTTTGTATATGTATGTTGCAGTTTATGATGTCTCTGGAGCAGCGAGTGACAGAAATTGTGTGGTCCTCAGTGATATCCACATTGACATCATGGACTACATCCAGCCTGCAACTTGCACTGATGCTGAATTCCGTCAGATGTGGGCTGAGTTTGAATGGGAAAACAAAGTTAGTCATTGGGAGAGTTCCTTTTATTTCTTAAGCTTTCACCCTTTTGACTAGTGTTCAATGGTGCTCTGATAAAAACTAACCCCAGTAAAAAACTGTCAGACATGAAAAACCAATTGTCTTTTAGTATCTGTTATAGCAAATTAGTCTTAACTGGAAATCATGTCAACAGTTTGGTAATTTGCTATTATAAATTGATTAGAGTAGTAGTGGTTCTTAATCTGATGGGTTAAGACATAAATAATATTTCATCTCTTTTATATATGAATAAAAATTTATCATTGATCCAAAAGAGGCCTTGTGAAGTCTTAAACCTAGATTTTTTTTTTTTAGAAATGTTCCATATTCCTCATGTTAGTCCTCATGTTAGTAAAGTTATCTATATCTGAAAGTACTAATAACCTACAGGCTGTTGGATTTTCTAGAAGATTTTTTTTACTTTTTTGTAAATAGTTGGAAGGAGGTTCTTGTATGAATACCAGTGATACCCAGCTTTCTCATTGTAAGATTTATGACCATTTTGATTTTTTTTTCCTTCCCTTGCTGCAGGTGACAGTTAATACCAATATGATTGATTTAAATGACTATTTGCAGCATATATTAAAGTCAACCAACATGAAATGCCTCACTCCAGAGAAGGTAAAATTTGATTGGGAATTCTTAAATCTGTAGAGAGTAGTGAAGATTCCTGGCTTTATTGTATTTCTTTCCTCTGCTGTATTTTTATTATTATTCAGCCTGGAAAAAGAAATGTTGTCATGGAATAGCTAAAAGAAGTTATCACGTAGAGTGTATAAACCTCCTTGTCCTAGTCTACTACTGCATCACTAACAGAAGTGCTTGAGTCCGAGTGATTTATGTAAGAATAAAGGTTTACTTGACTCACAAGTCCAGTGGTTGGAAAGTCCAGAGATGTGTATCTAGCATCAGGACAGCTACAACATGACCAACAGAGAGGATGGCGGGCGTGTGCAGGCAGCACTCTGTTTTATAAACAGCCTGGTCTTGTGAGATACACGGGGCATGTGTGCATGCATAAGCATGCCAAAATTCCAAGAGAATGGAAGAGAAGAGACTGCGGCATAGCCATCCCAGAGGGGATTAATGTCTCACTTTCCCTCTGTCTTTCCAGTGAGTGCACATACACTATAGTACAAAGTGAGGGGGGAGGGGAATGCTGTCAAACAAATAGGTTTTCGTTCATACATTTGTTTATTTCACACATACCAAGGTCAACAAAAATAGTCTCTTCCTTGATGGAGCTTTAAAGGTCTGATGCAAGAAGTAAACAAGTAAACAGGAAATACAAATATAAATTGGAATATGTACTCTTTCTTTAAAATTAGGTTTATTGAGATGTAATATGCACATAGTAACATTTAAGCTTTTTATGTGTGTAGTTATATGTGTTTTCACAAACTTATCTGGTCATTTAGCTACCTCCACCTGAATACGACTTTATGTGATCATTTTCCTATGCTTTTTGGTTTTGCCTATGTGTAGCTCTCTAGTAAAGTATTGAATGTATCAAAAATTTCTTCCAGGCTCTTTCTGGTTACTGTGGCTTTATGGCAGCCAACCTTTATGCTCGTTCCATATTTGGAGAAGATGCACTTGCAAATGTCAGCATTGAGAAGCCAATTCACCAGGGACCAGATGCTGCTGTCACTGGTCACATAAGAATTCGTGCAAAGAGTCAGGTAACAATTCTTTTTTTAAAAAGCATCTTAAACTGAAGAAAGAGATGAAGAATGTGTCTTCCTTATTTCTGTATATAGTATCTTCTGTCATATTGCTACTGTGCACATGAGATGGCATATATGTAATAATATAGTATTCTCTGAAAAGAAATAAAATTTTTTCTTCATTAAAATGGACCACCTTGAGGGCCAGCAGGTACCTAAGACATTGGATTCCCACATGACCAACCACCATTTGAGTTCTGGTCCCAGCAGCTTGAAAATCACAACATATAGATTATAAGTATTTTTAAAAGAAAAAAAGGACCATCTTTTGGGCCTATCATCCTGGGATATTTGCTTAAAACCAGATTGATTTCTGTGGAATATTCATGAAATGGATTCTCTAGAGTTTTTTGAAAGCCGAGATACAAATCTAGAGACTAAATTTTTGGGGAGTTCATTCTTGTTTATTCTGTTGATGTGAGATTATCATTCAGTAGGAGCTTAGTTAAGATGAATAACCTAGTGGTTATACATAGTTCCCGTAATTATAAACATCTTCATTCTTTTTTACAGGGAATGGCTTTAAGTCTTGGAGATAAAATCAACTTGTCTCAGAAGAAAACTAGTATATAAGAATAAACAAAAAGTCCTTGAAGCTTTACAGTTAAAATTTAGGTATGGGCTTATTGAACTCCAACATCTTTTGTACTCGTTCATGCTTCATGTTCTATGGAATCTGAATTCATGCTGGATGCATTCCAGTCAATAATTTATAGCCTTTCCCGTAAATCAGGATTGAGTTTAAAATTATAGTTTGTCTTTTGTCTTAATAGTTCTGAATGCTGTCCTTAAAGTATATGTTTCTCACATGTACGAAGACCATTTTCTCAGTACAATAAACAGATCTATTCATAAATTTTTGTTATTTTATAAATAAATGAATAATTACATAATTTTAGTTATGTATCAGTGGATTTCTTTTATTAATAGTTGGGATAAATTTAAGTTACTGTTTGAGTTTTGAATATATGCAGCTTATTAAGATAATTTACTAAGTAAGTTATATAAAATAAGATAGACCTTGATTTACTTGATTGTCTTTTACTTTTTTTGAGAGAGAGAGAGATTTGTTGTAGGGCATGTGCACTCACTGGAAAGACAGAGAGACAGAAAGTGAGAAATCACTCCCAAGAGTGGATGGCCACCCTGCAATCCATTCTGCATTCTCCTCTCTGGATTTTGGGCGTGCACATACACATGCCTGGTATGAGTTTTAAGCCTTCAGGTTCGGGAATTAAACCACGGTCATCTACATGGGAGTCCAGCAACATAACCGTGACCCCATCTGCTCATCCCTGTTTTTTACTTTTTTTTTCTTTTAAGGGTCTTACTGTAGCAGTCCTCTTGCCTCATCTTCCCAGCTGGATATAGATGCATGCCACCACACCCTGTTCTTTTTTAGGTAGGGTCTTTGTTGCCCAGGGCAGCCTCAAGCTTATGATTCTCCTTCCTCAAGGTCCCAAGTCACTTAGATTTCAAGCACACACCACCAAACCCAGCTCTTACTTTGGACCAAGGATCAAACCAGACTTCCTATGTGGTCCCAGCCTACTGAGCACAGTCTTAGCAGCACATGCCACCATGGCTGGGCCTGATTTTTACTTAATATTGTATCCTTGATATCTTTAGAAGTGTCTTATGTTTTAAAGGGCTTTTCTCTGGAAATTAGCTCCAGGGAGAAAGTATCAAAATAACTTGAGAAAACAGATCCCTCCTCAGTTTAAAGAAGTGTTATAAACTCTGACTGAAATAGACTTTCTAATTATCTTGAATAATAATGAATAGTTTTTAAATAATTTACATTTAGCTTTGGGTATTTTATGTTTGTTAGGATTTAAATTGGATCTGGCCTGTGAACTATTGCACTTTTTGTCTCCCAACTAGGCTTCAGACTACATTCGCCATGAGTCCATTGCTAAGGTCTGTGAAAGAGTTGAAGAAGGATCTCATTTCAGTGAGAGTGGGTTGATTCATGTGGAGTGTAAGGTTGATACCTTGTATAATGTCATAAACTTTGAAGCCACTTGTATCTTAAATCAGTAAACAAGACTATTATGGGGCATTTAAGATTCCAAAGCATTGAGATCTCAAAAGAACGCCACTTACTGAGTCAAGGAGTGGAGATTCTTGATGAGAGCAGAGAACTGATGGATCTTGTTTGGATTAATCATCACTTCCCCAAACTCTGTTCTGTAGAACATTAGCTTCCTTAAGTGTCAGTAGATATTCTGGGAGAAAAAGGATTCCATAGTCAAGTAAGCTTGGGGAGAGCTGCATACTGCCCTGTGCTGGGGACGTGCAGTACACATTAGCATACAAAGGATTTGGAGGGGTCCTGTAGTAAGGAAAGCAGATCAGTTCAATTTATCCCATTGTACCCTAGTCTTACTTGACCAGGAATCCATTTTTTCATGGAATACCTATTGACAGTATACATTTAGGACAGGAAAACTGACTTATTAGCATGTTAACATTATTACTTCTGTATCCACAATCAATCAGTATCAGATTTAAAATCTCAAGATTGCTTCTGTGTGTACTAGAATATATTTCTGCTGATAACTGTCAGAGGGTTACCTGCCTAATATGTTCAGACCTTTTTTGTTGAGCTCAGATTGCCTCACATTTGCATTTTCTGAAATTCATAAATAAGGAGGTGGAAAAAGACGTTAATACAGCTGTCAGATACATTAATCTATTTAATTAGTGTTACATTAGCTTTGTGTGTGTAACGTGAGCTGAATTAGATAAGCAGTACTTTGTTTAGAGAAACTGTTTACACTGTGCTCATTTCATTCGTATATAATATAGAGTCAAAGGTGGTATCAGCTTACATTAGAAAATACCGAGAGCCAGCAGGTGGTGTGGTGGTTAAGGTGCTGGACTTACACATTGCTAACTATGGTTTGAGTCCCAGACCCTGCGACTTAAGAGTCACTCCAGGCATGTGTGCATGTGTGCCTGAAACCCTGAGAGAAGACTGGAGGAAAAGGGATTGCAGCATGGCTATCCTCTCACGGGATGATTTTTCCACTTTCTCTCTCTCTCTCTCTGGCAAGGATGTACACCCAATAGCAAAAACCAGAGAGAGAGAGAGAGAGAGGGAGAGAGGGAGGGAAAGAAAGAAGATACCTTATAAATAGTACTGTGGTATCTTGTAAGAGAATAAACATCTAACACCAAGCAAGGTGTTAATGATATTAATATATTGAATGAATAAACCTATAAATCTGGAGAGAAATGGCTCTTATATTTCACTATTGTTAGGACACTAGAGGGAGCTCTGTACAATTATATCATCTTCAGAACCTTCAGATTAGAAATTAGTGCTTTAAGTTGTTTTCATAGGAAGAAAAGGCAAGGTAATTTTTCTGTTAGCAAAATTACAAGAAGAGCAAAGAGAAGTTAATATAGTTATCAGATATATCCAGACATTTGCTTACTTTGCTAATAGAAAAATTACCTTGTTTGTTCTTGTAAAAATAATCTGAAAGGCCAAGATTAATAGAAATGTTTTGCTGTCAGAAATATTTCTTTATAATTTAAAAATAATACAGGAGACAAAATTCATTTCAGGATATTTTTAAACATGAGAGAACCAGAATATCTTTCAAAACTAAAGTAATAGCAGATGTGAAATATCTGTGCTATGTATTGGATAAAATAAGTAGTTTTATTGGTAACTTGTTTCTTCCACATTGATCATTGGTCAAGTCATTGGATAATTTACAGCCTTTCTCTTTGGTCAAGATTTAGTTTAAAGTTATAGTTTGGGGACCAGCAGATGGTTATGGTAGTTAAGACACTGGACTCCCACATGGCGACCAGAGATTGAGTCCCAGCTTGCTTTCTCACTTTCTCGCTTTGTCTCCATCTCTCTCTGGTGATCACATGTGCCCCTATATCAAATTTTAAACAATAATAAATAAACTTGAAAAAATAAAAATTATAGTTTGACTTTTCTTTGGACAGTTCTGAAAACTGTCCTCAAAGTAGGGTTAGGCACACGAGTTCCCACCGTGCTGCCTTCTCCCAGGTTCTCGGTACACCATCCATGCTGTCTTATCCTCCTGGTGCTATGCTCTATGCCCAGGATCTCAGAAGCATGAATTACCAGATAGAGTATGGAAGTGCAGTTAGGATTAGGAAGATGCAGAATCCTGCCTGTCACTCACTGTCTAGTTTTGGAGAGTAGTAAATAGCCACCTTACGAATGTTGACAAGTGCAGGTATGTCACTGGGTGCTTTTTCCATGATACACGTCCTCCTCACACTGACTCTGAGGCAGTTACTCAGTTCCGTCACTTACAGATGATGGTTGCAGCTTCGAAGACAGGTAAGTAACTAGGAGATGAAAACACGTAGTCATGATGCCTAAAACTAAAGCCCTTGCCAGTAACTAGTCCCACACTGCTAATCCTTCCTTGTGCCTCGAGTTCCTCATTTGTAAGGTGCTTATCATGTCTGCTTCGCAGAGCTGATGTGAAGATGCAGTGATCTAATGTACTTATTGTGAGTATGTGGTATACAGGACATGCTCACGAACAAGTGTTCATTCTTTGCTCTCCCATTCACCTTTATTACCTCGCAGAGAAAGCTAAACCTGTTCTCACTTTCTGTACCTCCATCCGAATTTAGATCGTCCATTTTCTGCTTGATTTTAATGCTTTTTTTTAAAACACCAATAACTATAATTAAAAGAACTTCATTTTCTTGATAATTCTTTAAGTGAGATATCATTGGCACTCACCTTTGTGACTAGTTGTTGTATTCTTTTTTTCTAACTTCTTGACCTCAACTGTTGTTTACCTCAGCTAAATGTGCCCGTCAACAAACCACATTCCTCATATGATATTATAGATTGTGATGAACATACTGGTTTTGCTTTCAGAATGACAGTCAAATGACTGGTTATTTAAAAAGTCAGCTTTGGGCCAGCAGATGGCATGGTGGTTAAGGGCGCTGGACTCTCACATGGCCAACCGCAGTTCAAGTCCTGAACCTGGCAACTTACTTTCTCACTTTCTCTCTCCCTCTCGCTCTCTCTGTCTCTCTCTCACTCTCACTCTGTCCCTCTCTGGTCAAAACTGAAATAAATAAAGTTAAATAAAATATTTTTTTTTTAAAGTGAGCATAGGGCTGGCTCCCATGACCTCCTGATTCAGGCAACTGGATCCTGCATGGACAACTGCACAGTTTGAATCCTGGACCTGACAGCTTGAGAAACATGCTGGGTATGTGTGTATGTGTCCAAAATCCCAAAAGGAGGAAAAGATGGAAGTAAAGGGGTTATATCATGACCATTCTCCTTGGGAGAGTGCTTTCTCCTTTCTCTCTCTCTCTCAGCCTTTGCCTGCGACAAGTCCAGCAAAATAAAGAAAAAAAAGATAAATCAAGGACAAGTTACAGTGGCTATGGTATTTAGGGTCGCGACTGATCAGAAGTCACTTAGAATTTTAGCTCTTTCTCTGCTTTCTTCATTTACAAATCGCAGGATCTCTTTAAGTCAATTACGCCATGACAAAGGCATGTGCCCCTTTTTTGAGAGATTTTTGCTATAGGATGCATGTTTCCTCACTGGAGAGACAGAGAAAGACAGAGACAGAAAGCAAGAAATCACCACCTGGGGGAGTGGGCATGTCACAATCCCGTCTCTTCCCTTCTCTCAGGATTTTGGCCGCACATTCACACACACCTAGCATGAGTTTCAAGCTGCCAGGTCTCAGATTCAAACCCTAGTCAACCACATGAGAGTCCAGTGCCTTAACCACTACACCACCTGCTGGTCCCAGATTTGTGCCTTTTATCTGGGTTTCTGTATATAATTGTGGGGTTCTGAGAAAACTTTATACTGCATATATTCTGGAATAATTATAAAACCAACAAGATGTATAAATGAAACAGCACAGTGAACTGAAATTGTTCTGGATGAGTCTTCCCCATGTTTGTTTGTTTTTTGTTTTTGTTTTTTTTTAATGCCAGAGGGCACATATATGTGTGTTCATGTAAGAAAGAGAGAGTGTACACACATCTCCCAATGGAGCCAGGTCATGCCCACAGTCCTTTTCCCACAGTGCTTCATCCTGCCAGGATCTTGGGGATTTGTGCATGTACCTAGGGTAAAGCTGACAGAGCCAGGATTCAATCCCTGGTGGACAACATGGAATCTGACTTGCTCTCACAGCACCTAACCACTGTGCCATGGGCCTGGCCTTTATAAATCTTTCTAAATCATGTTCCAGTTCTCCAAGTAACTTTCCAAAAATAAACAGGTATGTATTTGGGCCTGTTTCCTTATCTGTAAGTTGAAACAATTTAGTAAACAGACCTTCATGATTTCCAGCTAAGTAATCCATACTTAAAAAGTCTTGTGTTTGAGCCAGAAGATGGTGTGGTAGTTAAGGCACTGGACTCCCATATAGTCGACCACAGTTTGAGACTCGGACCTGGCAGCTTTAAAATCATGCCAGATAATTATACGTGTCTGCCCAAAATCCTGAGAAGAGAATGGAAGGAAAGGGGCTGCAGCATGGCCTTTCCCCCAGGGGGTGATTTCTCACTTTACCTTTCTCTCTCTCGCTCTCTCTCTCTCTCTCTCTGCTGAGCATATGCAACCTTATGACAAAATCCTTTAAAAAAAATCCTTCTGGATTTGTTTCTGTTTTTCAGATTTTTGCCATAGAAACCAAAGACGGAAAATGAGAAATCACCCCCCAGGGAAAATAGCCACATCTCAATTTCTTCTCCATTCTCCTAGGATTTTGGACATGCATGCACATGTTCCCAGCATGATTTTTTAAGCCTCCAGGTCTAGGGCTTGAGCTGTAGTTGGCCATGTGAGAGTCCAGTGCCTTAACCACCATGCCACCTACTGGCCCCAAAAGCCTGTGTTTTTGTTGTTGTTGTTGTTTTGGGTTTTTTTTTTTTGAGAGAGAGATTTTTGCTATAGGGTGTGTGGGAGATGGCCACACCACAATCCCTTCTCCATCCATCCTCCTCTTGGGATTTTGGGCATGCATGCACATGTGACCAGCATGACTTTCACGCTGCTGGATCCAGGACTCGAACCACAGTCAGCCATGTGGGAGTCCAGCGATGTAACCATTATGCCATCTGCTGGTCCCAAAAGCCTTGTGTTTTTACAGCTACGTCTTCAGTAAATTTTATTACCAACTTAGATATTGCCACCCACAGGACCTAAAATTCACATTGCGAAGAAATGGCACTTAATTTTTATTTAGTTTATTGCCAGAGGGAACAGAAAATGGCACTTCCATTTATTCACTGCTTGCTGGAGAGAGAGAGAGAAAGTACCCCTCAATGGGACGTGGTCAGGCAACAATCTTTTTCCCCTGTTTCTCCATCCACTGAGGATGTTGGACACACACACACACACACAAATAGGTCAAGCTGTTTGTCATACTGACGGTCAGAATTCAAATCCTAGTTGGCCATGCGGGATCTGACTCCCCATGCACAGGGTTTAACTGCTGCACTACAGGGCTGGCCCCAAATGAACTATGTTGCTGCTGCATCTCGTTCTACCGCTGTGTTCTCTAGTTAGTTATGCTAGAATTCCAGCAGTTACCCTTTACCCTCACCGCATTATCTCATCACCAAGCCCTGTATTTTCCGTTCTTCATTATCTTTAGAATCTGTTTTCCCTTCATCCCCGGTGCCATTGCACTCATCTTTAACCTTGTCTACTGCAGTGGCTTAACCATACATTCCAGAGTAATTTCAAAATTAAAGCCTGTGCTTTATTCTCGATGATGTACAGCAGTATTTACACAATTCTTAGACCTGGTCAGACTCTTCCCTTCTATTACTGTCTTGAAAATACATATCAAAAAAGAAATGGGCCAGCAGGTGAGGTGGTGATTAAGGCACTACTGAATCCCAGATGGCTGATTCTGCAGTT